AGATAGATAGATAGATAGATAGATAGATAGATAGATAGATAATCAACCACTCAATCGATCTAGGGAGATCCCCGTTACAAATTACTGTCCATTGGATTCCCGAGCCACAATGGGTGACAATCCATAGGTGAATCCTATCAGATTTTACTCCCTTCTGGGACAGAAGCCCAGGTTCGGCTAGTTCGGCTACTAGTTCGAGTTGGGAGAGACAAGTCCCATCACTCCCGAGGAGGCCTGGATGGGTGGGAGCTGCCCTGATGATTTGGCGCGGGGTTCCCTTCTGAAAATTAAGCGGGGGGGGGGGGTTTCCAAGCGACGAAGAAATCTAGTGACTCGGAAGTCACTAGACCCTGCGAGTTGAATGCAAGGATCTGGGAATGCAAGGATCCTTAGCAGGGATCCGTTTCCAACCAGATGTACTGTACCTGCCTCTGGTTCACGCATCGAACAGCTCAGAAACGTTGGGCTCAGAAACGTTGTCGAGGCTTAAGGCTAAGGTTAAGCCCTAAACTTATCTAATTACGCACAAGGGACCGCCTGAACACGGAGAGGCATTCACACGTGCAAAGAGCGAACCGAATAGGTTTTCTCGGAAGTCAATCTCAAATCAGGCACCGTTGGATTTGACCGGAGTTTTTTAGGTGGGTTCGTGTTTGGCCTTCCACTGGCGATTTTCAGGAGGATCTACACCCCCTCCCCATTTTGGACCCCCAGAATAATATATTAATCATTATTTATTTTTATATCTGCAGCATTTAACCCCCCTTTTCTTTTTTTTTGGCACTTCACTCTTAATTCACCCCAGTCTATCCCTTTCTTGGGTTGCTAAATTCATTTAAACGGAGTTCAGGGCGGATTTAAATGAGCTGGAAGCTCCACATTTCAAACCATTTCATTTTTCACAAGCTACATGTTTTTTTTTTTAATTTTATTTTTTGGGTGGCGGTGAAGGAAGCTTCGGTGAACTTCAAAGAGGCTTTCTCTCTCAAACCAGTTTAAAAAAAAATAATTCTTGCGCCGGTCGGCCTTGCTTTGTGCCAATTAGATGGGCCTGGCTGATAATTCGAATTAAAGGAGTAGGCGAGACCGATCCTAAAACGGAGGCAACCAAGCTTTTGATAAACAGCTTGCCGCTTGCTTTCTTCAATTGAGGTGGAAGCCTGAACAGCCTCTTCTTGAGGGATTTTATTTCCTTCTCTTTATTTATTCGATTTATACCGCCACCCATTTCACCTATGTGACGTTTAGGCAGACGCGTACGTTGTGCTTGTGTTCCCAACACGTTTCCCCTCTATGGTGGGTTCGATCAAAACTCATCATTCTGATTTCACACGGCAGACCACGAACCTGGCTACAAGGGCTAGGTTAAAATACGGCCAAGTTAGACTGTGGTTTAGGCTACCGTGGGAATCAGATCGGTGGTGTTACAAGAAGGGGGAGGGAAATTAGGCTGGTTCACATCTCAGGCTTATCTCTTGCTCGAAGTACTGTTGAAAAGATTTGGACCGGAATCCAAGCATCTAAAGCAAAGGAAGGGATAGCGTTTAGACTTATATACCGCTCCGTAGTGCATTACAAGCACGCCCTGAGCGGTTTACAAACGCTGCCCCCCCCCCAACAATCCGGGTCCTCGTTTTACCGACCTCGGGAGGATGGAAGGCTGAGTCAACCGAGGATGGAACAACAACAAGGAAGTGGGCCTCGCCTCCCGAAATACCCATTCATACACGCCAGTTAAACGGGGAGAATCGGGGTTTAAGCCAGAGTCTCGAACTTGCGCGTGGGAAGAAGAACGACTAAGCGCTTTTCAATTGCCATCGATTTCCGTTCAAATCAGAGGGGCTTTGCTTTGCTTCTCTTTATTATGGGATGGAGAGCGGAAAGTCTCGAGCCTGCCCTTTCCTTGCCAAGCAAGGAGCACGTCGGAACGGCTGCTCCCGCTGCGAATTGCACGCGTTTAAATTTGCTTTGAAGCGCGCTGTTAAAAAGTCTTAAAAGCATGGGGGGGGGGGGGATAAGCCTCGCAGGAACGAAGGAGGGTCACAGTCCTCGCGCGAGGGAGACCCCCTCGCTATTTTTTGCTTCCTAGTCCCACAATCTTTGGGAGGATTCATC